TATATATATATATTACTGGCGACTAAAGTCACTCTACTTAAAATGCCATTGACATACTTATGGGGGGGGGACTAAAGTCGCTCTAGATAAAATATCACTGATATTTTGGATCACTATAGTTGTTTTGCATAAGATGCCACTGACATATAATAGTATAGGCGACTAGAGTCACTCTACATAAAATGCAACTGAGACACTATGGGTGACTGAAGTCGCTCTATATAAAATGCAACTGATACACTATGAGCGACTATAATCGTATAAAATATCATTGATATATATGTATATTACTGGCAACTAAAGTTGCTCTACTTAAAATGCCATTGACGTACTTATGGGCGACTAAAGTCGCTCTGCATAAAATGCAATTGATTTAGTAGTCATTATGTGACTACAATTGCTCTGCATAAGATACCACTAATATGCTAGGAGAGACTATTGTCGTTCTATATAAAATGCTATTGACGTATAATATTATGATTAAAATCGCTCTAGATAAAATATCACTGATACATTATGGATGATAGTTGTTCTGCATAAGATGTCACTGATATATAATACTATAGGCGACTAGAGTCGCTTTGCATAAAATGCCATTGACGTATAATACTATGGGCGACTATAGTCGCTCTACATAAAATGCAACTGATGCACTATGGGCGACTATAATACTATGGGCGACTATAATACTATGGGCGACTATAGTCTGCGACTGTAGCTCTGCAAAGGATGCCACTGATATACTATAGACGATTAAAGTCGCTTTAGATAAAATATCACTGATATGGGCGGCTATAGTCGTTCTGTATAAAATGCCATTCATATATTGTGGGTAACTCTGCATATATAATTGCTCTACATAATATGTATTATACATACGACGAGCGATTGGAATTATTATACATCGAGTATCTTTCTCTGGAAATCCATATTTCATTTTTATCATTTGTTTCTCACGAGATTCCTTGATAATAAAAATCATAAAAAAAAAAAAAAATAAACGCCACTGACGATCTTTCTTGAGTACTGTGCACATTTTTACCGCGGCGAAGAAATTGAGCGTAGCGAAAGGGTTAAAAAGAATCGCGACAATTTCGAGCGAGAAGCTTCGCCGCTTACTTTTTCCGTTCCAGCTTAGGAGATCAGGCATCGAAGCTATCGAAACGGTTTGCGCGGTTTCCACTGGGAGAGAACTCTGTGGAACGTGGTAGCAAGAAAGTGGTAGCAAAGATTTGAAGTCGGATATTTTAATTGGGAGGACGACGATCGTTCGGGTGCATCGAGAAAGTTCAATGAGAAGGCGAGTGAGACGAAAGTTCGACCCAGAGAAAGAATCGGCGGAAAGATCGGGAGTTACTCGATTGAAACAATCGGCTAATCTTGTGCCTGATTCACAATCATCGTAATAAAATCATGAATTTAGAAAAAAATGGGAAAGAACTTATTTGCACAGATAATAATATAATTTTGCAAAGTTTTGAGAATCAAATATGGCAGTAAAATAAAGTAAAAAGTTTCTACTTTTCGTATGTCCAACTGTTATCACGTGTAAAAAATCATCGATGTATCATCGTGTGAATTTCTAATGTTTTAAATTTAAAAAAAAAAATTATCGATAATTTATAACGACTTAAATTAAAATATTTTGAAACGTTATAAAAATTGAAAACGCTTCTTAATAAATTTACGAAATAATTCTCAACCATTGAAATGGGACCGATCGATTCTCTGCCTATATCTCTGCGTATCTTTCTTCAATCTATAAACGTTTAAAAAGAGGATTTAAAATTTCAATATATACAGTCATTATATATCACATTGAAACAATTATTTTTTACACATTTGAATTTTGTTTTGAATTTTGAAACTTAATATAATACAATAATTAAAATTCGAACATTTCTCTCGAACGGGTTCACTTCAAACTTCGAATCAACGAAAGTGTGCAAAAGCAACAAAGTGCGGAATCACCAACAGTTTCTACTTACGACTCTTCCCTTTCACGGCTAGCGCCGTCAACGCGGCCAATTTACTAACGCTCGGCTTGCCTGCTTGCAATCACAATTTTCGATCATCGAAGTAGACGGTATCTCTTTATAATACACTCGTGACAACAGTGAAACGTTAAAGGAAAGGATCACTCACTTTGCCAGACCGGCACCTCTTCCTGATACTTTTCCACGGAATACGTGCAATAGAAGAAGATTATCTTTCTCTCGAGACTCGTTATTCCGTAAAGATCGAGTACCAAAAAATTCAGCAGCTTGTCCTCCAAATATCGATTGTTTGCCTGTAAAAAAATTATTCGAATTCCTCGAGATAGGGGGAAAGGAGGGGGAAAAAAAGTTGAGAAAGAAAAGTATTGCGTCGTATTATTTTATGGCGTTATACGTGTATATATATATATATGTATAGTAGAAACGTTTATAGGCGCATTGTTGCCACATTTACGTTCAAAAGTTTATAGAACTGAAGCTCGTAGCCAGGTATCCCTAAAAATTTCATCACTTTGTCCCGTATCCACATCACTCTGCGAAAATTAATTAATTTCAATTTATTAAAATTCATTTTATTCCGATGTTGTTATACCGATAATCCAGATGTATTATGGAAAGTCTCTCCAAATCGTACAGATCCTCGTCGTCCTCGGTATGAATAATTTCCTCTTCCGATTCGGTCATATTTTTCTCTCTCTATCCTCTAATATCAAATATTGATAAAACAATAATTCTTTCTTTATATATATATATATCTCTAGAATAAATAATTTTCTTAATAAATATTCTTTCACAGTAACGAGTTTTTCGAATTCATCTTCGAAGAGAGAGGTTGCGCGCACTTTAACCTACAACTTTCGTACTTCGTGAATCGATTAAACAGCACGAGTTACGAGCGTATCTTGATGTATCGATGTTGCCATGGCGAACAAACGATATCCACGCATATACCGAGAAGTTCAAACATTCTCGAGATCTCGAGGTATTGGAGATGGGTCGAATGAAACGAGGGATTTTTCGCAATTTCGAAAGGAAATGTGTATTTAAAAATCGTCAAGTGTATGTGTATGTGTGTATGTGTATGTGTGTATGTGTATGTGTGTGTCATTGTTACATAAAGTTACACAATTTGATTATTATAATTGCTTACTAAACATTCGTTGGACGCATTCTAACGAATCTAATAACAACAAAGTTTTTCGAAACCCTGTTTCCTCGTCGATCGATCGATCGGATTAATTCGATTCTTCTCGATCAACCACGATATTTCTTAACGCAATATTTACGAGTTTTAAAGAGAAATATTACGTGTAATATTTATACTCTACGTAGCGTTAGTTTCTTTAATTACAAACGAGAGAGAGAGAGAGAGAAATGAAAGAAAAATGAATCGATCCAACCCCTTCTTTCCTTTCTTATCAACTTTATCAATTTCAAATTTTATTTATTAAATAATATATAATTATAAATATATAATTTTATTTCTTCATCAAAATTATCAATTCTCGAATTCTCGATCTCGGAGAGAAGAAGAAGAAGAAGAAGAAGAAAAAGGACACTTTTTTATCAATTCCCACGCACGATATTATTGTTGCTGATCGAAGATCGGCTGGATCGAGAGAACGAAAGAAGAGAATAAGAGAAAAGAGAAACGGCATCGCATCACAGATTTTTTAAATTCTAAAAGTTAGTTCTAAGAGAAAACCACCCCTTACATCTTCCCCTCCAAGGTTTCGTTCTTCCTCTCAAACGATCCCCCCAAAATCGCCTCCCCCTTCTCGCTTCCGGCCGCGCGTGGCTCGATCAACCCCCCCAAAACTGCCTCCACGTACTCCTCCCTTCCCTCGTCGGTGTCCAAGGAGAATCCTAACGACGGTACGAACTCCGTCTTCACCACTGTCTTCGTCTCGGCGCTCGTGGAGGAGGACGGCGTCGAGACCTCCACCTTCCTCTCCTCCTCCTCCTCCTCCTCCATCGTTCCTCCGTCGTGGAAATCGACCGCCCTCTCCTCCCCTGGAAGCTCGAACACCGGACCCCCTTTCTTCCCCCCCTTGTAGAGGGGCTCACCGAAGTTCTCCGCCAACCGGTCGAGAATCTCCTCCCCCCTCCAACTCTCCCCAACTTCCCCAGCGCTCGCCTGTTCTGCCCTCCTCGTCGTCAGAACGTCGTAGAGGATCCTCGTCCGGGCTCTCAGCTCCGCGTCAGTCTCTTCTCGTTCCTGTTCGAGCCTCGGTTCCTGCTCGTTCGACGAGGGGAAAGAGGAGGGGGAGGAGAAGGGTCGAGGGATTCGGTCCAACTTGAACAGCTCGGACATCAATCGGCGAAGGCTTATCGCGCCCCCCCTCTCGCCCCCCTCGAGGTCGTTCGACTCGGTCGTGGAACGGGGCGGCTCCACCGATTCTATTATCTCCAACTCGCGCTCCCCCTCTTCCCCGATCCTCGCGTCTATGGGGACGAGTTGCTCGCGCCCGTTCATCGTCAAGGTCACCTGGTACGGCGAGTCCTTGTTATTCCCGTCCACGAGGCTCTTCCAATGGATCTTCCCCAGAGGGGAATCCAAGGTGGCGTTGCTCGAGGCGTTCTTCGCACCCCCCTCAGCGTCGTTCATAATTAGGGAGGGTGTGGAGGTGTCCTCCCTCGAACGATCGAACGAAGGTATCTCGTCCAAATTCGGTTCAGCAACGGTGGTGGGATGGTAATCGGAAATCCCTTCGTTATTAACAGTGGTCGCTCGTTCCTTCTCCTCGGAATAATTGCGGGCGAAACTCGAGGATTCCGTCGTGCTCGGGTAGAACTCGTCGAGGGTGGAGCTGCTTGCGGCCGAGGTGGACGAATCATCCGGCACCTTAATCTGAAATCTGGCTCGAGAAGGGAGCCCCTCGATCGTAGTATCCCTCGAAAACTCGGCCACGCTCGACGCTGTGGAAGAAGCGTTGGACTCTGCGAGACTCGCGACGGTGGTTGTCGTCGTCGCTTTTACAGCGCTCTCTATTACCGACGGGGCATCGGTCGCGGTCGAGTCGTTCGAGCCTCGTTCGTCGTTCGTTTCGCTCCTTTGCCGCTCGATCGTCTCCCCCTTCGCCGACCCGTGCCTCGTATCCCCTCCCTTGCCTGGTAGGCGGAGCGAGGCGCCCTTCGCCGCCTCGTCCCTCGCCGGGTTCTGCCGCTGAACCGAGATCCCTCTGAACGATTGCCGCAGCGCCTGGCCCAGGCCTATGCTACCTCTCGTCTCGAAGTCGTCCTCGAACCCGAAATAAACCTTCGAGTCGAACGCCTCGCCCAAAGTTCCATTCCGAGTTCCCGGGTCGAGCACCCTGACCCGGAACCGGCTCCCCTTCTCCTCCTCCTCATCCTCGTAGTCGTACTCGTAGCTCCCCTGCCTCCCCGGGTACTCGTAATCCTCCTCCCTGGCTCCTGCTTTCCTCGAGGGGACCCTCCTCCCCTCCTGTGCTCTGACCACAGCAGATGTAGGCGGGGTGACGAAACCGTCCCCCCTGCTCCCTTTGGAGAGATAGTAATCCGAGCTGTCTATCGCCTGGTCGAGGCTGTTGTAGGCCAGGGTGGACGGTCTGAAGGTGGTGGGCACGGTGGGGGAGTAGAATCTTCTGGTGGTGGTGGTGACGGTAGGCACGGTGGGCGCGTAGGAGGGTTGGAACCGGTTGACAAACTGCCCGTCGTTGCCCCCCCCTCTTCGATGCGTCGCCTCCTGGAGCCCCTTCCGCCTCCTCTCCTCGTCGTCGTATCCCGGGTCGCCGATCTTCTGGACTCGGATAACGGGCGAGTCCTCGTAAGGTTTCGTCCCCTCTTGGACGGGATGGAATTTCTCTTGGTGGCGGTCTGCCGGTCTCCCGATTTCCTTGAGGCGGTAGGGGGGCGGCAGGAAGTCTCGGGCGGAGGGTGGAGGTCTGCGACGATCCTCGAACTTGGTCCTGAGATCGTTCCCCGTGGGGGGGTCGAGCGGGGAGGAGTAGTCGGATACCCTCCCCTTCTGGTAGTCGACGATGCTACCGGTTCGATCGGGATCGACCAGGCCGTCCTTGGTCACGTCGGTCCCCGAACGAAGGCTTATCATCGCGTAAGCGTTCCGTATCATCTCGTCGTCGTCCTGCTGGTAACTGTTCCGGTTCACGTCCACGTATTTCCCGCTCGACGAGCAATCAACCTTCGTCCACCAGTCGCAAGTGAGCAACTTTTGACTGAATATCGAGCCTATGGGGCACAGGAACGAGGAGACCAACACGTCGTGGCACACGTGGAACACTTGGCATCCCGCCACCTCGTCCGCGTAGTAACCTGAAACGAATTTTTATTTTTTTTTTTTTTATTCTTAAGAGTTTGTTTTTAAGAAAAGAGATTTTTCAAAAAATTTCCCTCGTAGTTTTTTTTTTTCTAGAATTTCGATCACGCGTTGACGATCGAACTAATAATATAATAAATATATATAATAATATATATATATAATAAATATTATATAATATTATATAATAAATATATAATAATATAATAATAAATTTCTTGGAAGAATTTTAACGAGTCACCCGTTAGGATTGGTAGATCTTTTTTTTTTTTCTGTTATGGTTGAACGCGTTCCTTCACTGTTTTTAATTGAAGTAACGATGGAACGAGCGATGTTTACATTCGACACTCGTTACGTAAACAACGCGAGGAGTCGTCCGTTCGTTCGATGACGTCTACGCCTCTTCTCTCCTTTCGAATTATCTAATAGCGGCCGATTTCTTCCGCGAAGAGAGGGCTCCGGGAATGGAGTTGGAAATCTCGAGCGAATTCGATTCGATATGAAAAAAAAAATGACGAGGATACGAGACGATATGGTCGATCTTATCGAAGGGTACATAGGAAAAGTATATGAAATAAAACTTAAGGTTTAGCTCGCGATAGTTTTACGATATTTGTTATATCGAGCAACGTTGGTTAAAGGAAACTGGACTGGAGGAGGATAGATTATGATAAAATGATTTATTTTCGCGCTCGTGAAACTATCACTTTCTCATCGATATACGCGGTAGATTGGGAGTTGGTAGGATGAAAGTAAACAGGGAGAATTGTATTAAACTTAGCTGAAGAAGAGAATGCGAGTTGAATTTCTAGCAATTTTTTTTTCTTTCTCAGTTTTGGATAAGTACGATCAAATTGTAAATTGATGAGTCCAAATGATCCAAATCTTTTAAAATTTTTCCAAAAATTTTTTCGTTCGTTTTTCGTTATAAAAATCTGGATAATAAAAGAGAGAAAATTTTTCAAATTTGTTCGAGTCAAGAAGGATCTAAAATTTTTCCAAAAATTAGACTTTTTCATTATAAAATAAAATGTGATAAATTTTTCAAATTCGTCCAAGTCAAGGAGGATCTAAAATTTTCTCAAAAATTATACTTTTTCATTATAAAATAAAATATGATATATCTGAACAATAAACGAGAAACTTTTCAAATTTATTCGAGTTAAGAAGGATCTTAAAAGTTAGATCCTAAATTAATTAGACTTTTTGCTTCATTTTTCGTTATAATGAAATGTAATATATCCGAACGATAAATGAGAAATTTTTTAAATTAACGAAGATTTAAAATTTTTCCAAAAATTAGACTTTTTCATTATAAAATAAAATGTGATATATCTGGACAATAAACGAGAAATTTTTCAAATTCATCCGAGTTAAGGAGGATCTAAAATTTTTCCAAAAATTAAATTTTTTCATTATAAAATAAAATGTAATATATCCGAACGATAAACGAAAAATTTTTCAAATTCGTCCGAGTTAAAACTCAACTCAAACTCCACACCAACTTTCCATATCAGATTTCGCCATTTTTTCCACCTAAAAAGCCGAACGATTCGTACTCATCCCGAATGCCAAGCTTCGCGAACATCGCGACTGCCTCGTCCCGGGATTCGTTCGAATTATCGTCCGACTGGCCTTTTATCCCATTGTCGGTTGCCCGCTTTCGCCGACGTTACGTTCCTTCTCCGCCGATCTCCTGACAACCTGTACACAACGTTGTCGGCAGATGCATTGCACAATGAAGAAACTATGCGCGTAACTACGCTACCGCGGGCATCGTCAACTTTCCTCTGCCTTTTGGAACTCGTTCAAATACACCCCCCTCTCCTCCTCTCCATTTATCCGAATATAATAGGTCCTAGTCGTCGTTGTCGTTCACATGGCGTTAAAACGGACGAAAATAATTATTATTCTTATTATTCTCGGGTGAATTGTGAAAATAAAACGTTATTTATTTCAGAAAAATACGAGGAATTTATATCTTTTGGAATCGGTGTGTATATATAATTCTATGAACGTTTGTGTATCTTTAAATATTTCTTGGACAGTTGAACTTTGCCAAAATTCGTTAGATGCTTGTTAGATAAAAGGGAAGCTTATTCTAGAAAACTCGGGTATTGTATGTTAGCCATTATTTGCTTCTTTTATTTTTCGTCTACGAGATGATTCGTAATATATCGAATATATCCTAAAATATATAGGCGTTGACAACTTAACCTCAAATACGAATCGAGTTTTCAGCGTAATTTTTATTTTTCGTAATTTTTCATTATCGCATAAAATAGATAAGCTGGATCCAATCGAGTCAATACCGATTAATCAATTTTCTAAATTTCGAAAACAGAACGAAGGATTCAGAAACATTCTTTCTCGGAATCCGTTACAATTTCTTATTCAAATTCATATATTCGCGTTTGTCGAATCTCTCGAAACATTGTATTCGACGACTCCGCGACGAGAGAAGAGGATTCATGAAAGAGGCACTTGGCCGAAGCCGGCGAGTCGAAGATAAACACGTTTTCACGTCGAGATATTTGCCTCTCCAGGTGGAAAGTGCGCGGGCAAACATTTTCGCGGGATTTTTTTTTTTCCGCGACAAGTCTCACCGAATCGCGGTTGGGACCGGTGACCTATTGCAAAACCGAACATCGAGTGAATAGCTGCACGTGCCTCCCCCTGTCCGCGTGAGAACGATCCTTGACATCGATGCCGCGCGTGGAAACACGTGTAGCACAATGGTAATCGATCGCAACGATGCATCCATGCTTCGAGTCGAATATTCGCGAATATTTTTATCGATAAACGCGAGAATAGAATGAAATCGTTCGGCCAAACTCGACCCGTTTTTAGAATTAAATAAATTTCACGGAAGACGTGTGTCTGGTGTTTTCAACGATCGATAATTATTTTTTAAAAAATGAAAAAATCCATCCATTTAATTATATTTTAAAAATTAAAAAAAGATGGATGGAAAGGAGGCGGAGAATGAACGTGGTTAATGAATAAATATATATAATTCCATTCACCTCGTGACCGTCCCTCGCACGTGAATCCCGTCTGAGGAAGCGTCGTGTATGCCGGATAATCGATGCCTGGCTCCCCTGGCACGTTCCTCCTGATATCTGACAAATCTGAAAGAAAGAAAGAAAAGCGACGCAGAATCGTCGATCAATCATGAATGTATAAATAAAGATTATATGGGTGCAGAAATCTCGTAACATATTATAATATATATAATAAATATCAGGGAAATGCCGGTGAACATTTGATTTGAACTTTGGAGGAACTATATACTTCGAGCACGATATGCATTCTGCATATCGAGAATGAAAGGTGTGTACCTTGAATTACGGTTGTAAATGTTATGTTTGTTATGGATATAATACGTCGAGTCGATTATAAACGAAACGAAGAAGAGGAAGAAGAAAAAGCGTCGATCGTTTTTTTTAGGTTAGAAAGAGAGATAGAAAAAGTGACGTGAGCACTAATGGAGGAGGAGGACGAATCAAGGTCAAGCGAAAAGGATTTCGCTTGAAAGAATAATAGAATAATAGAAATGCATTGTGACATTTAAAAGAATGAAAGATTTTTACTCGTAGGCGTGATTTCCTTCTATTGCCGTTTTTCCTTTCACGCCACCGTCGATAACATCCCGAACATCCCGGTTTTCTTATTTGTATTATCGACCGAGTAGATTTGACGAACGGTGGTCCGTTTCTCTGGACGGAAAGAGGGGAAAATATATATGTATATATATAATCGAAAAGAAAATCAATTTACAACATTGTGCAACATTGTCGTCGCGATAATTGACGAGTTGGTAAACAATAAAATGGTAAAATGGTAGAATCGTAGAATAGTAGGATCGTTAACAAGGGAATAATTATCTATCTTGTATAAAGTGATTTTACGAGAATGGTTAATTAATGAAATGTAAAAGTGTCAAGGAGGAATCTCTCTCTTCGTAATGTATCCCAATATATAGAAAATAATATTGAATATCTGTTAAAGCGTCGTATAAATTGCTGTTTAAGAAAAAAAAAAAAAAGAAAAAAATTCCCATTAACGTTTCTCGTAACATTTTACACCTTCGGATTTTATTCCTCATTTTTACAATCACTTTGCCGGTTTCATTGTAAGCCGACGATTAATTTACACTCGGCATCGGTTGTCCATCTTCTTTTTTTTTTTAACGCAGGACAAGGAGAAGAATCGATAAAAAGATGTTAATCTTGTCAAGGCGGTAATAATATTATTCATCTTCTCTTCTTTATTTGCGATTAATTATACAATTGACATCGATTCTATCGATCGACGCAATATTCTTTCGCCGACACCAAACACTCATTTGTCTCAAAATATAAAATTTTCAATCGTAAATTGCGCAATTTTCAAACGCGTAGTAACATGTATCTTAACCCTTAGCGAATGAAGTCGATGCATTTTCTTCCAACTGATTCATTCTTTACGAGTTACTTTTAAAATTAATAATGTATTTATCTCTATTTAGTTAGTTCCATCGATGGAATCAGACTAGATTGACACGTTAAAACTCGATACTGGACTCGACTCGAGGAATTTGAGTATAAAAAAAAAAAGAAAAGAAAAGAAAAAAGGAGATGGAACAAATCGAAATCTCTACCTGTTTTCTCCTGATAAGGATTGTACTGGCCACCAGCGGATCCAAAGCTGTCGAACGCGCCCTCTTCTTCCGGATCGAAGTATTTCCTGAAACGAGATCGTTGCTCGTTAATGGTTAATGGACACGCGTCCGCGCCAATACGCGAAACCAGCGCAATACCTCCCCCTTGTCCCATCGATGGCTCTTCGTGACAGGAAGCTCCTCCTTGGAATTTCATGTTCAAGACTGGCGTGAACGTTGCACAAGACCAGCATCACGAGACCTGTGCAAACAGGAGTGCCGTGCATACATACACACGCGCATGCGCATGCTTAATGCTTTACGATGTAAATGCAATCGTTTTCCCACCCATTTCTCCGCCCTTCTTTATCTATTTTCTTTATCCGTTTCTATTCCATATAGCGACATCTACAATAACGTAAACTCGCTTCTCATCTCCTCTGTATGACTCGATCAATTTCACTTTCGAACGAATGGACGAAAACGCGACGTTTCTAACCTATTCGTTACCTTGATCGCATCCGATCGATATCGAATCGCGCAAGATTCCACCAAAAATGAAGCGAAACAATAACGTGACGATCCATCGATCGATCAAGTTCGAAAGTGGACGAGCGTAACTCGTTCAGAGAGCATAGAACACTCGCTTGCACTCGAGTAGTATTCCATTTCGAGCATATTTGCGACATGCGAATAATAGGTGACTGGACAAAATTATTTTCTTTTTTTTTCGGTTTTTTGAGCTTATGGAAGAGATTTAATTTTTAGAAAACGATTGACTGCTTTTTATTATAATTTATTATTTCGTTAAAAATGTATATAAATGTGACTAAATATATAAAAAAAATTAGTATAGAATAAAAAAGAAAATAAATAATAATCGATATATGAAAATACAAATATTTGTGATTTGAATCACATATAAGAAATCAAATATCTGCATATCTACGGATGTAGGAAAAATGTCCGGTTAATATATATTATTCGAACCACCCTGTGTTATGGAAATCTGAAAATTCGCCAATCCGTGTTAATAAAAGTCGAAAAAATTCGAATGGTTTTCTAAAATTCATTCGCGGATGTTTGCGATTGCGGAAGATTGTTTAGCATCGTTATGATCGACTTTCGCCGTTAACCGGTGTTAATCGTTCGTTCCATTCGTGACCAATGAATCCAATGATCGAAGATTATTCAAATCGCTGTAATTTTCTCACTTGCTCGATCAAAACAATCGATCAAGTTTTCGATCGATTCTAAAATTGATGATTTCGTAAAGTATAACCTATTTTGTTTAATGTCCCTCTTATTAGAACTGCGTAATAGCACAGAGTTGGTTAATTTATTCGAGAAACAGGTTATGGTGTCTCGTTGGTTCGGTATCAATGGCAAATCGATGAAAAGACTGTGATTTACTAAGATTCGTTCGTTTCTATAATTTCGTTTCTTTTACGAAACAAGTTAAAATTAATTTTCAATTATCGTATCAAATTTAATGAAAACAAATCGTTAAAAAATTCGAAATAACATATTTGCCTATATCAATAATTTAATCGATATTTGGTATTCGAAAACGAGGTTAAATTATATTTTAATGAGCATCGAAGCCTTAATTTTTTCGATTTTGACGAGAAAAGAATTCTATAATTGTTGTTCTAATTGTTCTAATCTAATTGTTCTTTGTCAAATCACAGAAGTCATATTTTCGTTTTTCAACTTTGAAAATTTAGAAATTTCAAAATAATTTAAGATAATTTAAGATAATTTGGAAGCAGCATCATCCTTCCTTCAACGATCTCTCTTCTTTTCATAGTAATTCGTAATTTCCATTCTCTGTCCACATTTTTATTTCATCACCATCATATTTGCACCAACTGACAACACTGAATTTCTCTGACGCACTTTCTGGTTACTGCAATAGATAGTTTCCTTCTGTTTTATTACGAAGAAAGGATCCTTACGAATGACGAAATTTTTACTGACGCAGTCACTATGCTAACCTATAACTCCTCCGGCTATAATTTAAGATGTAACGACATGCTGCCATCTAACGACAATAAGATCTCTACTTTGAACCTAAGAAACATGGAATAAAACACGAAAGTACACTGAAACTCTTCTTATTTATCATTAATCGTCATTAATTATTATTCGATTTTTGAAAAATGGAATATAGAATATAGAATTAAATTTTTTTCGAATCTAAGACGCGCTTTTTGTTGCCTGATATTTCTGTTGGAAATAATTAATTAATAAACTCGACAAGCCATTCTTGGCAGCGTTCGTACACTCGCTTGCACGAATATTGGACAATAGTCAAATTCAATATGTATTCGTTTAAAAAGCGAGTTAAAGAAAAAGAAAAGATTTTTTAAATCTCGTGATTCCATTTTGTAACAAGCAAAAAATAATCTCTCTTCTTCCTAATTGTTAGGTTAAGAAAGATATTTTTAATGAATAAAAGAGTATCGAGAAATTTTGTAAAAAAAAAAAAAGAAAAAAAAAGTTATGCGAAATATTCAATCGCGGAGAGTCCAAATTATTCCATTGGGAAAAAAAAAGTTAATGCGAATCTCGAACGAATTTTGGAAAAAAATTTTTAACCAAAAATTTATCGAAAATAATAATAAGATTAAAGGGAATCTCGCAGAATATTAGATTTTTGGACGATTTCGAATAGAGAGATCGGATTTTCGACACTCGTATCGAGAAAATGATATCGAAATGGAATGTTAGTCTGGCTCTCGCAAGAGCGTGGCGCTTTCTCGCCGCGTAACCCGATTAAAAAAAAAAGTATAGCACGGAGCGGTGTGATTGGGAATGCGACATAACGGGATCACGCACGGTGGGAGGGGCGATTATCGTTAGAAGGATCGAAATTGCACGGATTCCACGCGAATCTTTGTTGGAGAGAGAAAAAGAGAGAAAAAAAAAGAGAGATCCCTCGCTCGCGGTAGCAATGTTGGCATTAAAAAGATGAGCGCAACAAAGGTCAAGATGGTTGGATGGTTTCTTGGAGAGGAGAGGAGAGGAGAGGAGAGGAGAGGAGAGGAGAGGAGAGGAAAGGACGTGGATCGTGAAAGACCAGGACGTTTGCTTACGTTTTCACGTTTTAAAAGTCACTCGTTTCGCTATTTTAATTACAGATATCTCCTTACGTATTACTATTATGTGTATGTATATATATATATACGTATTCCCGCTTTTTTTATCTCCTCACGATTTTTATTTTTCGGTATTGCAGAATTTGACGAGTTATACTTGTGAGAAAATTAAACTTAACTCGAAATATACTTGTTCGTACAATGTTGTTGATAATTTATCAAATATATCAATCAATTTTCAAGTAGGTTTTCGTTAATTAAAAACTTAATCAAAAACGATTTAATCGACGAGTTTTAAACACAATGTTGAGCGATCGAATTTCTCTCAAGTAATGAGAAATTTCGACAGCGAAAATTTCAATTTCTGTTTTATCTAATGCATTGTGACGATCTTCGTGTTACGTACTTCCGATCGATTGAATACCCCGTTCATTTGTACATTCGTAACAGAATTTCGTTGTGAATAGGCTCGTGAGAATATATTTGCGTGTTCCCCGTCTCGTGGAATTTATGAATCATCAGAGATTTCACTCGTTCGTCTGATATACGATACGTACAAAAAAAAATTGGGGATGCAAATCGGAACGCGTTTAACGAATCCTATCGTGTATAAATCAAATATTTCAAAATTCGTACATCGTATAGGGATTGTTTCGCCAATTTATGATATATATATATATATATATATATATATATATATATATATATATATATATCGATCGAATGCCAATCGCTATAAATTAGACACCCACGTAAAAACTTTATAGAATCGAAACAATGATTTTACAATCACATCAAGACTCCGTCATTTTCTGTTCGAGGAATATCGATCGAAAATGATGGAAAATTGATGAACTGGAAGAACATTCGTTCGTTATTCGTCGTAACTCGTAACCTATAAACATTTCCACTGCCCTTGAAAATACACTGTTTAATTAAACGAACTCGAAGAATCATCATCGATTATGTATATAATCATTGAAATACAAGAAGAAAAATCGATCATAAATTAAGATCCATCGACATCGTTACACACAATATCCGTCCACTTTTCCTTTCGATCGCACTCTCACGAATACCTTCTTATCGACAGAGACATATATTTCAGCAAAAAAAGAAAATCTAGATCAAACTCGTTAACGTTCTTTCACGTAGCAAAAACTAAATTCGATCCTGTAAATCCGATATATCTGTGGATCCCGAAACCACAAACTGCACACTCGGAACTGGAAAACGAGAAACAACGCGAGCCCCGACCACCACCGTTGCGCGATCGAGGACAACGGATCGATCGAAGCAGGTATCGAGCCTGGATCTAACGCTCGGCGAGAAAAGACTCGCGTCGCGCGCGAACGAAAGATTTCGAGAGACGAGCACACCGGTCCGAGAGTTGTATTCTTTTCCACGCCGCCCAACCGATGGACGGACAACTCTTACCTGTTGCGCGCCGGCTTCTACGGTCGGTTAAAACGATTGAAAGTCGGCTCCCGGTTTCGAATCGATCGAAATACAATGGCGTAGGAGATTCGAAATTCGAGAACCGCGTGGAGATCGTGGTCGCACTTACACAGAGCGGGCAGCGTGGTCGGCATTTTCTCGCGCGTTGCATCAGTGTGTCCCGGTGATGTGAAGTGTCCGACGTGGAACGTCCGGCCGGCCGATGTACCAGCCGATGCACTGCGAGCCTGCTACGACCGCCGATCTCCTCCCAACGGCTCTCTTCTTCCAACCTTCTTCTCGACCGGGAGGAAGGGATCCAAGCGCCTCTTACCTTTCTTCTTCTCGCTTTCCACCTCTCGCCACGCGCATCCCTCTCCGATCCCACCATTTTTACCCGCTCCTTAAATCCTTCTTCAAATTTTTCCCTCTTCGAATTTCATCGAGTTTTTTTCCTTTTTTTTTTTTCGATTTTTTCCGCTCTTTAAATTCTTTTTCAAACTTTTCCTTCTTCGAATTTCATCGAGTTTTTTTCCGTTTTTTAATTCTCGATTTTTCTTGTTTCTTAAATCTCTTTCCAAATTCTTCCTCCTCGAGTTTCATCGAGTTTTTTTCCTTTTTCAGTTCTCGATTTTTCTCGCTGCTTAAATCCTTTTTCAAATTTTTCTCTTCTCGAGTTTCATCGAGTTTTTTTCCTTTTTCAGTTCTCGATTTTTCTCGCTGCTTAAATCTCTTTTCAAATTTTTCCTCCTCGAGTTTCGAGTTTTTTTCTTTTTTCCTTTTCGATTTTTTCAGCTCTTTAAATTCTTTTTCAAACTTTTCCTTCTTCGAATTTCATCGAGTTTTTTTTCTTTTTTAATTCTCGATTTTTCCCACTCCTTAAATCCTTTTCCAAATTTTTCTCTCCTCGAGTTTCATCGAGTTTTTTTCCTTTTTTCCTTTTCGATTTTTCCTACTCTTTAAATCCTTTTCCAAATTTTTCCTCGAGTTTCATCGAGTTTTCTCCTTTTCTCGAACTGACCATCGTGATCATCCTCTTTCTCCTCGTGATCGATATGAACGGGACGTATCCAAAGGAGCGTTCGAGTGGAAAGCGTCGCATCTGCCGTTTTCGTTTCCACGTTTTGGATTCCCCGATCGAACGTCCCAGGTGCTGTGCGGAATCAAAATGGAAAGTGGAGCGAACCGATAAAGTTATAGCGAGGCGGTGGTCCGTCCCAAACTCGATCGTTGCTTTGTTTACCTCCACCGGCCGACAAATACTCGATGAATATTTGTAAATTTTCATTAAGAGTGAAGAAAATCGAAGGGAGCGATAAATCGCGAAAGAGCGAACGAGGCGTAGGAGAGTACGAAGGAAAAAGGAAACATCCCACATTCTTTTTCGTTCCACGCGTTTATTTCCATCCTCTGGCGGCGGACGGGCAAACTATCTCTCGGTGTGTACACCGTGCGGAGCCAAATGAACACATGAATCGATATCTCTGTGTAATTGAAGAAAGAGGACACATTATGTAAGTTCGATGACATTGCCTCCGTTCTGCGCGAGCACGAGCTCGCTCGCCTCCACTTTCTTCCTTTCTTTTCTTCCTTCGTTCATGCACCTCCTCCTCCTCCTCTCTTGATCTTTTGCTCTTTGCTCCGCTTCGTTTTGTTTATTTATTTCTTTTTCCGATATTATTTGATTCCTCTTCAGTTTTTCAGTTTTTTTTTAAATTTTAAATAAAACCGGTCGAGATAAATCAGAAAACGTGCGTGATTTTATACGTTTATCATCCTTAATTGTACGTAATATTTAATCCTTGCATCGCGTGAATTTTCGCGCGAGGAAAAAAAAAAAAAGTAACGATCCATTGTTCGTTCGCAATTTATAGATGCGTGATACAACAACATTAGAAAGGTAGGATTATATTCTATATAAATCGCACGTAATTTCCAATTTCATCGTTTTTAATCGTTTCCTATTCATCATCTTCCCGGATCGAAGATAAACTTTAGATTCGATCGAGATAGACTTTAAACGAGACATTCACGTTCGCATCCATCCCAGATAAAATCTAAATCTGACTCGCGTATTTCGAGCTTTCCACTTTTCTAATTCCTTTCCCCATCCTTTTCCGTCCGCCGAATATTCTGTTTCTCTCTCTCTCTTTCTCTCACTCTTTTCGAGATCGCTTTGAAAATTTTAACAAATTAACTTTGAAATTATGGTTTCGCT